TGTGTTACTTAATGAGAGTTTTAAGGGATACATAACCTAAATTAACCAATCAAAACATTTCAGTTAAGTCTATATGACATGTTGGAAATCTCTATATATTTACATTATTTTTTTAACATGAACTCACAAATACATGCGTTACAAATATAAATCCAACTAAAATATAATATTGTATAATTTTATATAACATAATGTTTTAACGATGAATCATTTACCGATATCAATTACTTTATAAAAATTGTAATAATGTCCATTTGGATATCATATGTGATTGATCATACAATTATTTTATTTTATATCGCTTAATCCATATTACTCTAATTAAAGTTACGCTTTTGTTATAAACGCACAACTTTACAAATCAAACCTTAATGCTTGAATTCCAAAAAATCTATCATTTTTACTTTATTTTTTTTTGATCTTTTCTTTAAAAAGATTTTTACATATTAATGTGATAATTTCTTTTTTGATTTTGGTAAACTCAAATAAGTTTGAAATAAATGATAATCTCAAACATAATCGATTTACATCAAATAACGCTTCAAAAACGCTTCAAAAACGCTTACATTTCATCTAAATGTCATACAAATTAAATTTGATAAGATAAAATATATTTATCTATATATGAAATATACCATTTGATATTTGTTATCTGTAATTTCTCCCGTTATTATAAAAAATCATGAATTTGTTTTTGCGAATATTCTAATTTTGCGTTTAACGCGGGATAAAAATGTACTTGAGCAACATTGTTGATTACATCGAGCATGTCCTAGTTTTAAGCATTTCTGAAACAAGATTGTACACTGGTTACTTCAGAGGATGCTCATATAAATTTTAAGCATTAAACATTTTTTCTTTCTTCCTAGTAGACAAATACAAATCTAGCTGCTTCTCAGGTAACCATATTGTCTCTTCACCATATAAAGCTTATAGATTTATTCTTGGTAAGTCCTTCCTATGAACTTGGCAAGTTATAGCTGTTTGACTGAAATTGTTTGTACACTTGCAGAAAACTTTCAGTTAGCAAATATGCTTTTTTGTTCATCATCAAGAACTTCATCAATATAGTAGTTTTGGGATCTTCTGAAATATGGCTAACCCTAAGACGTCTATGGTGTCTGTGCAGGCTATGACTCTGGGTACGTCGGAGGTACATCAGAGATGATGATGTTCTTGTCGATTGCCCCAAACGCTTTTGATGAGGCCAACAGAGCGACGACAAGACCTGCATTCCCTGCTAGACTCGGCTCTGTGTAATTGTAGTTGAGAAGTACGTCCAAGAATTCGTCATCTTTGTCCGGTCCAGCAACCATTTCTCCATCAATGGTGTTCGGGTTGTCTTATGTGGCGTCTCTCCACTTCCATCTTCCTTCGCAACTCTGTTTCTGGTTCGGAGGAATTGATGCTCCTTTGTGATCGCTCCCCAAAACCCACAACATAGGTCATGTTGTGAGGGTTTTTCCCAACAATGTAATCAACTTTCAAAAACAAAACACTGATCATAAAGGTTCATTCTCAGGGTTTTTTTGCCAAGTAGGTAATCAAACAAAGAGGTTCATTTAATCATTTAAACAGATAGGTTTTAAAAATATTATATACCTGCGATATTTTGAAAACTCGTGGAGGACTTGAGTGTGGTAGAAACTAGTGCCCCAATTTCATCTAGGAATACCAGCCACTTCCAAATTGTCACTGTATAGGGCCGCTAAGGAAACTGCATTGGCCGCATGTTGTAGAGGCCATAGATATCCATGGTTCAGTTCAATCAACCCTCCTATAGAAATGATACCATATTGATTCCTAAACATTAAATTACTAAGAAGGAGTGAAATCCACAGTTTTGGTTAAGACAAACGTAGCGAAGTAGAAAAAAACAAGTGAAACAGTTATACAATGTCATGTTTCCTCCTTCCTAAAACATGGGAGAAATTGGAGCCAAGCGTTGGAATTTTGGAGCCAATGATGCTGTCGAGAATCTTGCTCGCGAAATGTGTGTTATTTCCTCAACCTCCTCGTTGATAATCTCGACCGCAATGACGGCAAATCAGTCATCACTCTCGGACACGGCGACCCCTCGCCCTCCCCTCTTTCCGTACCACGGTTGAAGCCGTCTGCGAGGCTCTCCGTTTCACAAAATTTAACCACTATTCTAATACTTCTGGCCTCCCTCTCGCTAGGAAGTACGAACATTCCTTCCGTGTCAATTCTTCTTGTGAGATGATTTACAAAAAAAAAGAGGACGATTCATGATTAGAATTTATGTGTTTAAATTTGAGAATTTTCCTTCTTATTTGGTGGTTTATTTTTAAATTTGCTTTCTTAAATTCTAAATGGCCAACTGTTCTTGCTACTCAAGATTCATGTTTTTCTTCTCATTGGGTGTTTTACTTTAAAATTTGCTTGTGTTAAATTTGAAATGTCCAATTGTTCTTGCTTACTTGGTATTCAAGGTTCATTGTTTTGTCTTTGGCGTTAACTTTACTTGTCCTCGGTAACTTATCTTAAGCTTTGTGAGAAGGGATTTTGATGACTTGTTGTTCCTTAATCAACAGGGCTGTTGCAAAGTACCTCTCCCGCGATCTCTCTTTATGTAGAAGTGTTATAAACTAATTGTATTAGTGTGGTGGACCAAAATTGAATAGATGAATATAGTCAATTGGACTACTTTTCATGAATAAGATTTTAGTGTTACATATCAGTTGTATTAGTGTGGTGAACTAAAAACTGTGGATGAATTTAGTACATAGACTAAACTGAGTTGTGTTGACCAAAATAACTCTTCGTGTTTTGTAGACAAATTTGGTCCAGCATCAAATTAAAAAAAAAAAAAAAGTATTTTCTGTCGTAATAAATCAGTCTATTTTGACATTCTTCAAAAAAAAAAGCAGTTAATCTGTAAAATCAAAAACATTTTTTGTTAGACAAAATTTTGAAAAAGAAAAAACAATGTACTACTAATGAAGAAGATTACTATATAAGCTTTGATTTTGGGGCCATTATTCCCCAAATTACTATAAATTTTATGTTTATTGTATCAAAAGTATATTCCTACGTTTTTTTTCAGAGAGATTTGTTTTTAGAACGGAATTAAAATAAATAAATTTAAACGGGACTCGTTCTTTGACTCGTCCGAGTGATCCAGTTTACAAAACTCGCTCATCTCAACACAAAAGAAAAAAAATCAATTAAAACCCTTGGAGAAACCTCCCTCGCTTCTTTTCCATTACCCAGGAAGGAGACGAAATGTTCGCCGTTTCACCATCGTACTTCTCGCCGGCAATAATCTCTCCGGTGAGTTCCGCTTCTTTCTTTCTCGCCCATTTTCTTCCCCTAAATCTTCTTATTTTGACCGAACAAGTCCGCTTTCTCGTTCTCTCTTGTAGAACCGTAGTGGTCAGACGAAAAAACCTCAAATTCCGAGAAAATTCTCGGTGGTGAGAGCAGGAGCGAAGAGGATACTGTACGGAAAAGATAGCAGAGAGGCACTACAAGCCGGTATCGATAAGTTAGCTGATGCTGTTTCCGGCACCTTGGGACCTAGAGGTGAGATGATTCATGCCAATTTCGTAGATAATTCTCATGAGATTTGAGTAGTTTTGATGATGTGAAATTTGAATTGAGATTCTGAGCAAACTCAACCCTTTCTTAGGTATCTATTTTTGTGATCATAAGAAAACTGATTTTCAATTGTGGAAAACGATGCAGGGCGTAATGTAGTGCTGGCTGAATCAGATACAATCAAAGTGATTAACGATGGTGTCACCATTGCTAAATCCATCGAGCTCCCTGACACGATTGAGAATGCTGGAGCTACACTAATCCAAGAGGTTATTCATTCATGGTGGCTAAAATGATTCCCTTCTCTTTGTTAGTTCATTGTTCGAACATCAAATGATATGAATTAGTAAAGCCTGAAACTTGCAAGTTGTATGTTTTGTATAGGTTGCGATTAAAATGAATGATTCAGCGGGTGATGGGACAACGACTGCAATCGTTTTGGCTAGAGAAATGATCAAAGCTGGATCTTTGGCTATTGCTTTTGGGGCTAATGCTGTTTCCGTGAAGAATGGAATGAACAAGACTGTTAAAGAGTTGGTGGAAGTGTTGAAGATGAGAAGTATTCCTGTAAAAGGGAAGAATGATGTTAAAGGTTACTTGCTAGTTACTACTTATTAACATATCTAAATTTTGATCCACCTCTGGTCTTAAATTTGAAATAAGCCAAATGGGATTGTTGTGTTCTGTAGCTGTGGCTTCAATCTCTGCTGGCAACGATGAATTTGTCGGGAACTTGATTGCTGAAACTATGGAAAAAATTGGTATTGATGGCGTCATCTCCATTGAATCATCTTCCTCATCAGAAACGTCTGTTATTGTTGAGGAAGGAATGAAGGTTAGTTTGTTCAATGTTTTAAAATCTTCACAGTGGCAGTCTTCCACGTACGATCATTAAGATTATCAAACCATTGAGCTTCTGCGATTCATGAGGAATATTTCTTTTTTACAGTTTGACAAGGGCTATATGTCGCCTCATTTCATCACAAATCAGGAGAAATCTATTGTGGATTTCGAAAAAGCTAGAATCCTTGTGACGGATCAGAAAATCGCTACAGCCAAAGAATTAATTCCTTTACTGGAGAAAACTTCACAGCTGAGTGTTCCGCTCCTTATAATTGCAGATGATATCTCCGCAGAAGTGCTTGAGACACTTGTGGTAAACAAGAAGCAAGGTTTGATCAATGTTGCTGTTGTAAAATGTCCAGGAATGTTGGATGGGAAAAAGGCTTTGCTACAAGACATTGCACTCATGACAGGTTTTTCTCAATCATTTGTATTTCCGTGTAGATTTTTACCAACGATATTCAGTTGCTAACATGACAGATGATATAAAACAGGAGCTGATTATCTTTCTGGAGATTTAGGCATGACTCTCATGGGTGCAACTTCAGATCAGCTGGGTATTGCTCGGAAAGTAACAATTACAGCTACTTCAACAACTATAGTCGCAGACCCTTCAACTAAACCGGAAATTCAGGCAAGAATTGCTCAGATGAAGAAGGATCTAGCTGAGACTGATAATTCATATCTTTCAGGAAAAATCTCAGAGAGGATTGCTAAGCTCACAGGAGGCGTGGCTGTAATAAAGGTCCGATTTTACAATAAGCGTTCTTTGTTTAATATGCTGCAACAACTTGAGCTTTCATCAGAATACCTAAATTAGACACGAAAACTGTTTCGGTTTATGATATTTCTTTCGAGTCCTCTTGAAAACATCAGCTTATCCCGGTGTCAATTCAGGTGGGAGGTCACACTGAAACAGAACTTGAGGACAGAAAACTTAGAATAGAAGATGCGAAGAACGCTACATTTGCAGCCATGAGAGAAGGTATAGTTCCAGGGGGTGGTGCTGTGTATATCCATCTTTTAGATGAGATCCCGAGAATCAAGAAGAATCTGATGGATGATTCATACGAACAAATAGGTGCAGATATTGTGGCAATGGTATGAAAACTTAATGATGAAATGAACCCGCTATTCTTAACCATTCTGGTATTGTAAATAAAACCCTTAAAACTTAAAATCACGTTATTTGTTTGCAGGCACTCACTGCACCTGCAAGGGCCATAGCAACCAATGCTGGGGTTGATGGATCAGTTGTGGTAGAGAAAACCAAACAACTTGAATGGAGAAGCGGTTACAATGCAATGTCTGGAAAGTATGAGGATCTCCTAAACGCTGGAATCGCAGATCCTTGTCGGGTTTCAAGATTTGCCCTTCAAAACGCGGTTTCTGTTGCCGGCATTGTTCTCACTACTCAAGCAGTGCTCGTGGAGAAGATCAAGCAGCCTAAACCTGCCGTTCCTCAAGTTCCTGGCATACCCACCACATAGGTAACCACCAAAGGTAACAAGCACAAAACCCCCAAACTCTTTCTGCAGATTTTGTCTGAATCGGAACTTTTTGCTCACGAAATGGTGTTTGGTTTTTGTTGTTTTTACTAGATTATCAAAATGTCTGATGCCATGATATGCGGGGGAAAAAAAAAGATTATAGAGGAATCATTGTTTCTTATTGCGGAAGCGAAGCTTAGTGTTAACCTCAATTATCCGACATAGGAAGAAGGGATGTGCCTTGTAATGCAAGATTCTACGTTGTAACCCTAGTTTCTATAATATACGGATAGCTTTTCCATATTGATTTTGTAGTTCATCATATGGATAAATAATTTCAGGCAGTTCATTTACCTAGTTAGGCTACAAAATACAAACGCTAAAAATTATTCTTTGCATTGTAAACTGTAGTTCAATTGTTCACGATGTAGTCGTTTGTTTTTGGGCCCAGACTGGCCCATCAGAGAAGTGGACTAGTATCCAATTTACAGCACTTATTCTCGTCCCCCGAAATCATTAAACATGACTAATTCTATTGCTGCTATAGTAGTACAGCAAAGAGAATATATATATTTTTTATCACATGGAATGATGAGATACGTGTCTATAATCCTGTGGTGTTTGACTTGGAAATTGTACCGTTATTACTGG